CCCCCCATTGGTATTATTTTTTTTGTTACTTTTTTTGTTAATAACTTTTTAACGAATAACGAGCGACGGCTAAAACCACCTGAAGATTACTTGGGGTCATGCCCTTGACAACGTATATAAAGGGCAAGATCATTGGAGCAGCCTCCCTTCATCGGTATATTTATCATTACGTTGTTAATTCACGTGTCATTTATTGTTATTATTTGTATATTTTTTAAGTCATTTATTCCACCCGTGAGAAGTCATATAACTCACCCCTATGGAATATACGGCAAAAATGCAAGGATTTAAAGATATTTTTTTTACACATTTAAAAAAATAAATATTTTGGATTCCTAATATTTTTTTTAAATAATAGTAGACTGCATAAAATTTTTACTGGTATAGTTTATTTACCTTATACATAATAGATAATATCTGATAAATTAAGTTCTTATAATAGGTGCGGCGTATACGTATACCGGAGTTACTCTAAGGTATTATAGATTTTATATAAAAATATTCTATTTTTCAATCATTTGTTGTTGTTACTAAATGTGTTTTAGTAATAGTTTAATAATAAATTTTATCAAAAATGTTATTTAATTATTTATTGCTTATTTTCAAAGAGAAGGAGGCTAGTAGATTTGACAATCATAAGATCCTGAGCGCAAATTTTATAAATGCGACCCTATGTACTCTTATAAAAAAGAATATATTTACTATAAATTATACTGTAAATATAAATCAATTTTTATTTAATTTTTTAAGAGTGAAAAAGGACAAACTACATGGTCGAAAAATCTAACTTTTTATCTCTTTTTTAGCGGAATGAATTATTGCAATGGCAATCCGGTTTTTCTAGTCTAAACCAGAAAATCAGTCTTGATTCATAACACAATAGATAGCCTTTTACGAACAAATTATTAGTTAATGACTTACTTTAAGGAGCAAATTTTGCATTTATGCAATGCTTCTTAATTTCTTTATGTGTGTATGTGTGAATCTGTATCTTTATATCTTCTTTATTTATTTTCACAAGCTCTGTTACGATTGATTAATAAATATTTATTGTTGCAATTAAATCGTAATCTGGCTCAAAAACTATTTATATTTGAAAAGGCTAGAATTTCTTTCTCGTTTAAAACTTAAAATTAGTTTTTCCTTCACATTCAAAGTGTTTGCTTTACATATGTAATTAATATGATCTTAACATGTAATCTTGTTCTAAATAAATTAAATTATTAAACATTCCAGATCTAATATCACAAGTTTAATCAAGCGCCACATCGTTCTGAGAAAGCGTGTAATAATTTTTTTTTAATCGATCTCTCGGTCATCACTACTGTCTCTCGTTTCATAAAGAAAGTCAAGGAGAAACGTCTGCGTCCTTCATATTTCTTTTTAGCTGTTAGTTTATACGCCATTCTTGTATAATATCCATGTAACATACTACATAATAGATGTACTTTCTACTCTCTCTAGTAGTATCTTCTGTTTTCAGTTTCCAACTAATATTCAAATGAAATTGTATCCATATTTTAGATATTTTAGACATATAGAAAGCTCTAATCTAAAAGAAAGATCTTAATTTAAATCTTAAAATAAATAGGACTGAAGCTATTCAAGCGTGTATGAACACTTGTTCATTTACATCATACACGCTTGACCATTTACATTTACATTTGCATCGGCACATAAAATAATAATGATAACATAACATGTAATAAAAATTTTTTATTATCTGGTGCGATTCATAGAATAGTTTTGATAGCAAGTAAATTATGTATTATTATCTTTTTTGTTTGTTATCTATTACAGAAAATTCTTGTCCATTTCATCAACGTATAAATCGAAAAAATCGGCAGTGATAAATAAGAAACTCGATTATGTCATCATTATATAAATTTCCATAGAAAAAAAATACTAAAATAAAATGATTAATACACGCATTTTCTCTTTCTCTCCTTCTTTTTCTTCTTCTTCTTCTTGTTAATTTCATAACTTTTTCTCACATAAATTATTCGTAAGCATTGTGAATATTCTTATTAATCGACTAATTTGATGAGAGATTGAATAGACAAGTGAGTTATTTAATATAAACTACCAAAATTATATTATAATACGCCATCTTTCCGCGGATGTGTACACGTCCATTTATCATATATTCGAAGGAGTTTCTTAAATTAATCGTTATCTTTATTACAGCTTACAATTAATAATGAGTTTCCCTGATTAATTCCATTAGTCATCTATTCTTGTCTTGTTATGCGTTTCCAACAGAGGACAACATATTTTAAAAACCTCTCATTTGTCACGTCTCTACATGAACGATGCAAGATAACGTTAAAGGATGGCGAAAGGAAACCTGAACATGAAGCGATTTTTATCCAGTCATCATAAATATTCTCGCATTCAGTAATCCGGCTTCTTGATCGAACTTTCGCCTTCCTTTTTTCACACGCTTAAAAAAGTGTGTGTATGTGTGTATGTGCGTGCGTGCGTGCGTGCGTGCGTGCGTGCGTGCGTGTAAAAGATAAATAGCTTTATTTATTACACGCTCCACATAGGATGATATTCTCTCAAGCGCTCAAACCAATTTATAAAATAAAACAGTAAAAAATATACATAGATGAAGATAAATGAATATATATACATAGATATAAGCAAGCATGAATAAATGAGTAAGTGATTCTAAATCGTCTATTTCATAAGAGATATTATCGAGTAATGGATATTATCGAGAATCATAGAGATTACACTGAAAATTAACAAGACACGAATATTTACGCGAATATTTACGGGAAGCCAGAGCTGCTGTAACGAAAAGATCTTCAATGCGATATATAGGTAGATACAAGTAGTTATGAATTCTGGTGTCTTGCGAAGACTTATCACGCTAAATTGAAAATTGCAATAAATAGCCTAAAGCCTCATATTCTTCAACACCAAGTAAATCAGTTAGTTATCACCAAGTTATGAAGTTAACAAGAAGAAGAAGAAGAAAAAGAAGGAGAGAAAGAGAAAATGCGTGTATTAATCATTTTATTTTAGTATTTTTTTTCTATGGAAATTTATATAATGATGACATAATCGAGTTTCTTATTTATCACTGCCGATTTTTTCGATTTATACGTTGATGAAATGGACAAGAATTTTCTGTAATAGATAACAAACAAAAAAGATAATAAATACATAATTTACTTGCTATCAAAACTATTCTATGAATCATACATTCATATTCATATATTCATATTCATATATACTATTCTATGAATCATACATTCTACAAAATACCATCGTCTGGATTCGATTCAAAGCCAACCCATAATTTGTTAAGATAAGGAGTAATATTTATCTCATCTGGTTCCAAAAATAAATTTAACATGAACATTTAGATTTCTCTGTAAATGTATGTACATAAGTTTATTTTCAGTGATATCCGTTTAAAGAACAGCTAGTAAGCAATTAGCAGAAAGATTAATGTCGTAATAAGCTTTATCCGTAATTGCAATAGAAACTGCTTACAAAGCAATGAAGAATTGACTCTGGAAATTGTCTTGGCGGTTTGCCTTTCTTACTGAAGATTATTCGCAAGAATAGTGTTCAAATATAAATTAACACTGTTTGAATACGGTATAGCATTGTTATTTACATAAATTTGAGGCAGAATATCACAGTTCATTCAATTCACATATCTTGTAATGTTCATAATCATACCCATAGTCTTCTTAGGATTTAGCAATCAATCTATTTTTACAGTCTATTTTTCAGTTGCACACTGGACAATGTCACGAATATCCTGATCGTTAATATTGAAAATCACAGATATATCTCGGCTTCGCATAAAAATAAATCAGTAAATCATCGGAATAGACATTGTATTTACAGTACTTAAATAACCTACTAAAAAAGGTAAATACAGGACAAAAGTCGAACAGCGATCCCTGTGAGACACCAAATGAAAGAATTCTGTCCAACGATAACGCTTCAGTGCTCGGATTACGCACAGTCGTGCCTTCTATCGAATAAATAAGCACACAGCCATTGTAATGCCGAACACGAGAAATCATGGTTCCTGAGTTTGTTAATTAAATTATAATGATAAATACATTGTCAAATTTTCTTGAAGTTAAAAACCGCAATCGTAACATTTCTCCTGTTCGCAGCACACCTAACGTCGTCCAAGATTCTGATCAGTGCAATCTGAATAAAGAAATCTTTTTTGTAGGCACACTAATTCTGAACCAGAGGAGTATAGTTATAGTTCTTTAAATAGCCATTAATCTGCTCAGCGACCAGGCGCTCCAAAGCCTTGGAGACTGAACATAAAATAGAGATTAGTCTGAAATACTCCGGCTGTGAGACAGTAATTAAAGATGTGAGTTATTACTGGCAGGATGCAGGGAAAAGTTATCTACAGAAGTTTAGGTGCTAGTCCATTCTTACTAATCGCTTCAGATTTACAAGACAATAATGCTTTGATTACTTGGCAAGGTTTAATGTGGTTCCAATAAAATTTTGAGTCATCATATATTTTTTCCCCAAGATAGATGTCAGCTGGATTGCCGTCCCTGACCTCAATAGAATCTTGGTTCGCGAAAAATTCGCTCAGTTCTTCAAAAGAAAAAAAGCAATTTTCTATCTATTGTTCTTGATTTGATTAAACCGAGATGCCTTAATTTCTTCCAGCTGGAATTGGGTTTTTTCAAATTACAAAAGGTATCCTGATAGAATTTTTTCTTGCGGATCATATTCTTCAATCTCTTCAACGTGACATGATTGGCGTCTAAGCCCCGTCTTCTCCGAGCTCTGTCCCTTTCTGCCATTTTTACCGTGATTCGTAATCCATGAAGACGATAAATGTGTTGGAGAGACAGTATGGTCGATATTCATAGTTCGGTTCTTATTTCAAGACCGTCTTAAGTAATGTCTTAAGATGCTAATACAGCTCTTTGATTGGCTAGGAATCTCCACCTTTTTTTATTTACGTTCTTGGCATTGAACAAAGTGCTGTAGTCATACAATTCAAGCTCTTCCAAAAGAACCCCTCATTAAAAGAGCGAAAATCACGAACAGCTATCGATTTTCTGTGAGAGCGATTGATTCGGATTTTGTAAGTAATACTAATAAGTTGGTGTGCCGACAGAAATGAGACGTCTTGCTGGTCATACGATATTAGTTTATCATTGTCATCAATTATATATAATTATACATAATCCACGTAGAAGAGGTACAAGTATGGTGAGTTAGCGTGTACGGAATCAGAAAAAGATCAGATGCCTCAGCAAAAGTTTAAATTTGATCCGTATCTTGAACGACCGAGACAGAGAGAGAGAGAGAGAGAGAGAGAAAGAGAGAAATACTTTTCTTAGATTCAGATTCGCATACAGGTAGTTTTGATTTAGCCTGTTTACGCTGTATGATTCATTTCTCATGGGCAATGAATGTGATTACCATTAGAATTCTCTGGTATTATGAATGACGCCTACTGACTAGATGTTGATTATAAAGTTGAATAGAGATATGAACGTAGGAAGGCAATCTTTATAATTAGTATACCAACTTTTGGTATACGTGAATATAAGGAACAAGGATGTTTCTTATATATGTAGCTTATTTTGTTGTAACAAATATCATTAAAGTTATAGCGGCAGAAAGATTTGCAAAAGAACAGTTTTATTTGAAATAATCTTGAAAATAATTTTATTAAGTCTGCAAATTACTTGACCGATCTTTATATCGCTATCAAAGCAGTGACGGTTTCGTTACAACAACTGCATTATTGAAGATGAAAAATTGTTTAACAATAAATTCTTTTAAAAATGGATTTATTCCGTATTTATTATGTATTAATATTTTTCCGTATTTTATAAAAAAGAATATATTATTGTTTTGAATTTTATTGCAAAATTTAAATAATTGCGATTATGGTAACAAATTTTATATCAAATACAACGACGATCATATATCTTTTTTCTGTACTGCCTTGCAGCATACATTTGTAAGTAATAAGTATTGATTCGTAGATATTGTGGACTGCGCTCTCGGTAGCCTTGGGTGTCGAACTGAGAGGAGACTTGATACGAGGCACACCATGTATCAAGAAATATCATCAATTGTTCTGTCCAACCGCTGGAAACACATATCCAATGTGCGTAGAAATAATTTTATTTGTTATTTTTTAATTTTCACTTACAGATAATGTTATTACCTGACTACAGTTAAACAAAACTTATTAGTGATGAAAATAAAACCTTGTATGCACGACGCTAGAAATCGCTTCGAAATTTTTAATAGCGAAGAAATTAAAAAATTACATTTTGAACAGTAGATACAAAGCTTAAGAAAACTCAAGACAACGTGAAATTGACTAATGTGAATAAGTTAAGTAAATCAATTGTTGCAGAGAACGGATAGAACGTTTTATTGACGAAAATAAAGCGTTGATGAAAAGGATGTATGGTGATTTTGAGATGAATCCAGGATCGAGTGAACATGGTCATCGTACTAGAACGCGACGAAAAAGTAGAGAAGCGCGAAAGCACGATATCCCGGATGGCGGGCCCAGAGATAACTCGCATATAGAAAGCGAGATTGGCGAAGAGTATTTTAACAAGAATAGAAATATTAGACAGTCCTTCGGAAAAAATCGCAGCACAGAGAGTGGCAGGTAACAATCAGAAATTAATCTTCTGCTTTTATTATTATTTTGTACTCCATATACATATATAATTTATGTTTTCTGTTGCTGTTGTTTGAATATTTTAGAAAGATTTATTATTATATTTCTTGCAATAAGTTTTTTGCAGTGTTTTAAAATGTTTATAGTATCATTATTATTAAATTAAAAATTCTAATTTAATTTGTGATCTTATTATTCTAACTTTCTATTATTTATGATATTTTCTGCAAGTTCGATAATAATCAGCGCTCTATTTAAATAACTGAAAATGTATTTGGAATTTTTAGAAATATTATTAGGCGCAAGGATCCAGTTGTTGACGTTTCTCTACTTGATTGTGTTATTCATTATAACGATCTAATTTAACTATTATGTCTATTATTATATGTCCCATTATTATAAATGCTGACCCGTACGTACGTATTTATTATAAAACATGGTTAACGCGCATTTAACATATAATTTTAAATATATTGGGTTCGCAAATAAGTTTGTTCGGTTTTTTTAGGATAAAATATAATACAATTTTATTGATACACAAAATGAATTTTAATCAATTATATTGCCTATTTTTATCGATGACCTCTTGCCATCTTTTCACCAATTTTATTATTCCGCGTTCGTAGAACGTCTGGGCTTATTGGCGAAAAACCAATCCAGATGTCTTTTGAGTCTTTGATGATCTCCTCATCTTTGAAAGTTTTTCCGTTCATAAAGTTCTGCAACAACCGGAATAAATGGTAGTTGAAAGGAGGTCTAGTGAATACTTAGGAGGCAAAACATCCCAACCAAGACTAAATCAATTTGTTCGGAGTGGTCAATAATGTATGGGGTCTGGCGTTGTCGTGGTAGAAGACAACACTCTTACGATTTGCAATTCTGGACGTTTTGTGCGGATTGCTTAGTCCAATTTTGTTAATTGCGAGCAGTATATGGTTGAGTCAATCGTTTTGCTCGACGGTAACAGCTCGTAATAGATGACACCTTTGTAATCCCATCATACGGAGAGCATGATCTTCTTCGGATGCAATCCCATCTTCGAGATTGTTTGTGGTGGTCCATTGTTATGTCTCCACGATCTTTTATGCATTACATTATCGTAGACTAATCCATTTTTCATCGCTGGTCATCATCCGCTTCAAAAATGGGTTGTTTTCTTGGCGTTTTCGCAGCGAATCGCAGATGGATTAACCAAGTTGGCCTTGGTTAATTTATGCAGCACCCAAACATTGAGACGTATCCCAACTGGCGCAAATGGTTTTCTATGTTTGTATGGGATATATCTAGTGTCGTAGCAATCTTTTGCACCGATTGGGATGGATTTTTATCGATGATGATCATATCATTTGAATCAACCTCGGTCGAGCGACCAGAGCGAGAAGCATCAATGTCGAAATCTCCAGCACTGAATTTGACAAACCATTTTTAGCATATACGCTCTGTTAAAGCATCATCCCCATATACACGATATACATTTTTATGAGTAGCTCGTTTACCTTTTTTGAAATAATAAAGCAAAATATGGCGATAATGCACGTTATTTACTTTTATTTTCACAACAAGTAATAATACTGAAGTTACCCACGCACTAAAAGTCATAGACAGGTTGTGCAAAACAAATGCACATTCAAGTTGTGCAATAGCACCGAGGAAAAAAGAGTAAATCGGAATAAACCTGCATTGAAGCAAAAACCGAACTTTATTTGTCAATCCAATATTATAAAATCTCATACTGCATTATTAAATCCTATAATTACATTATTTATACTATTAACTCCCTTCCCCCCTCGATACGTACAATTGTCAAAATATCCAATTACAGTCGCTCACAAAGTAAGCGCAATGAAAGAACTAATCGGCATCGCAAATAAGTCACTACGACAACAGATCAATACGACAATGGTACAATGAACTTTGATAAAATGCGAGTAATCGACTTCACGTACCTTTTTCTAGATCGGACTCGCGGAGTAGGGAAATGTTTTTTTCCCCTCTGTTTTTCTTTTTTTTTTTACTGCAGCGGAATAATTAAGGCTATCCGCACATGAACTCGTAATGGTATCCGTAAACTGATAAAATATTAATTAATTAAATTAAACATTTCGGCTATATAACTTTCTTTACTATAAAATATGAAAAATGTTTACAGCTGTTCCTGTTCACGTATAATCATATCGTATAAACGTTACGTTACGATTTTCTTTGCGCGATAACATAAGTTTACTGTTAAGTTTAAGATCAGTACGTAACGTAATGCATTACGGATGTTCACGTGCGAATAGCTTAAAAATAAATATAAATATAAAATACTATCATGGTAAAATAATTGCAGAATTGACGCGTGCGAATCGAAAGTTGAAATCGTGACTCCTTACTGGGCAAGCAATAGCGCTGGAAAGATTCGCGCCATTGTGAATACTCAACATTTTGAGCAAGCGATACATCAGGAAGTGTGCTCGTAAGTAAAACGATTGTTTTCCGCGTCTTTGATTATTCTATGTGCTTTTTTTTATAAATGTTCATCATACTATGGATATATATTGTAGATAGATACGGATTCTCACAAAATAAGCACTGCATAGATTGTATTTTTTTTTTCTAGGAAAACGCAAACAAATCGATGCAGCGGGGACTGTGGATGCGAGCAGAAGTACAAGTGGCACAGATTGCTCGCATATGACCCGGACAATGATTGTAAGGGTATATTTATGGATTGGTTCCTTTTCCCCTCTTGCTGCGTATGTAGATGCGATCCTGTCAACAGCAGCAAGTTCTCCTCATCTGGTAGTCGAAACTGAAGAGATTAACATAGAGTTTGACAAGCAAAACGTCATGATGTGCCATGTAAACTCTTATTCATTCATTCTTAATGCATTTAATCAATAAGAAATATTAACCCTTCAACAAGGAATCGCTCTTTTCTATTCTTCTTTTCAAATACATATATGATTTAATTGTTTAATTGATCAATGTCCTCTTTTATGTCTTGTAATAATTTTTCGTTTTTCTTATTTATGTTATAATACAATTTATTAAGATGATAGTTATTATTATTTTCACGATTCATTAAAATTGGTCGAATTGCATTTATAGTATTAATATTGTTTTTTAGAAAACAAGAAAAGGTATATATTATAGTAGAACCGTTACCATATGTTCACACTGATCAATTTGCTTGAAAGATTCCAGCCGATTCATAATTTTTATCCAAAACCTCGGAATAATTTACGCAATGAATATAAATGTAGCGACAATTGTTTAATTAGAATATATATCGATATATCGAACATTATTCAATAAAAATATATACATAGTATTTCCAGGGTTGAGAAGTAATGCGTTACTTGTAACGCCGTTACTGTTTTCATTCCACTGTTACTGGTTTCAATACAATCGTTACTTTTTTCTATTTGTAATGGTAACATCGTTACATTTTTACAGTAACGAATTTGCCGTTTTATCATTACTTTTTAATTTTTTATCGTTTTACTTTCTTATTTTGTAATATATTTTTAATTTATTTCTTGAAAAATATATTTCGTACTCTGTACCTCTTAGGCTATATTCCGATAACCACTACCAGTATTGAAAATCTATAATTCACATTACATAATACTATAAATTTTCAATACTAATATCAGTGATTATTAGAATGCACTCTTAATAATAACAACGTTAATGTTTAAATTTAATCTAACTTTGTATAAAAATAAGTATAAAGAAAAACCTGCTTTACATACAGGCTAGTTTAAAAAGTTTCAAGTTTTAATATTTATTATTATATTTAATAATGATTATCAAATATAGTATAAATTATATAAAAATATAAATTAAAAATCTAATTGAACTTTATTTTATTTTATTTAGTATTACAAAAAAGTAATGAATCGTTACTTTTTAAGTAACAGTAACGCGTTACTTTTTAAAATTAGTAACGAGTAACGATAACGAATTATTTTTACAAAAAATAACGGTAACGCGTTACTTTTTTTGTAACGTTCCCAACCCTGTATCTCAATTAGTAACGATAAGTAGCATATATGTATATGATTTATTTGATCAAGACATTTAACCTTGATCCTTCGAACAATGATCAATGTTTAATGAAATAGGCTAACAAATCGCGAAATGTGTATGTCTATTTAATAGAAGGCAATCATGTCGAACGAGATTGAATCGGACACAATTTCGCATAATGCGTAGAAACATTTTCGTGATTTCATATTTTATTTGTATAAATAGAAATGTTACCGTTTATAGGTTTTTCCTAATAATTGTCGATTATAATTACAATAAAGAGTCATTAGACAGATAGCGTTTAATTCATAAATGAGCGTCGTGTACACGAAACGTGTTATTTTATTTCGTGGATATTAACGTATGGTTTTTTAATCGGTTATGAAATCCGAATACGTGGTCTGGAATAAATCCTAAGAATAACTTCTTCTTAGAACTTATAGCGCCATAAGATACATAACTTTCTTAAAAATAATTTCCTAATTTTTAAACATTGCATTACGTAAAGCAATTATACTTTAATAAAAACAAGCTTACAATTCTCTACATGAAAGAGAAGATACATGCAAAATCTATGAATCTAAATGTAAGAATGAAAGAATGAAAAGTTGTATTGTACGTAGAAAAAAATATTAGGGTAAAAGCACTAGGGATTAGGCATTAGTTCCCCAGATAATTTGTTATATTTAAATAATTATTGTATTTTCTATCGAATGACACATATCACAAGAGTCTTTAGTATTTGTGTTAACTTTATAAATTGTCAATTGTTTCTCATTTATTAGAAACAATACTGCACATTTTACTGATACTAGCACTACAGACGCACGCTTCGCGCGCGCTATTTAACTGCACTTTTACTTATTACTATAATTGACTATAATTATACATCAACCTCAATACATAAACCACAGTATAACCAGAATTTATTGCGAAAAAATATCACCTCATGTTCTCAGCTAAGAATCGAACCCGGATCTCCATATTTGCCGGACGGACGTCCTACCTTTAGACCACCAAGGCATGTGATAACATTCATTGCAATAAACAATCTAGCGCGTTTTCAAGCCGCGTAAATTCATTATATATATACATATATATATATATATATATATGTATATACATATGTTTGAGCGAACGTATACGTCCAGGGACTTGATGCTTTGAGCATCGATTTATTAGATTGCCGTTGGCAATTTAATTGTGATATCTCATACTACTTGGTTCGGAGCTACGGAGATGCATGCGATTTGCGGCCACGTGGTGTTATACGAATCTAAAATTGTAAGATTCACACTAATATTATATGGAAACACCAAGATCCACTTTGTACCGTGTTGGTGTTTTAAGCTTTCATTTATTAAGTTAACTTTCCACGGTCTTTCCTGATACTCAAATATAAATTTTTATTCTTAGGGTGTATTAGTGCCGTTACTCTATATGTAACGTATATATACCTACATATGTATGTATACACATTAGAGTGAACTTTACCTGTACTTGGTGAAAAATTTTTTTCGAATTTTTTTCACGGCGTCCTTTAAAGTCGTTCCATTTGGTAAAAAAAAAATTGTGTAAAAGTTGAGCTCGATCGGACATGGAAAGACGTGGAACAATCCTATTAAAGTATAACAAATATTTTTTTTCACAAAAAATGGGAAAATCCGATAAAAAGAAATTCTGAATAAAGATTAAATGATTTTCTTAATAAATGTTGACCATGATAGTATGTTTTTTAATAAATATAGTATATTTTAATCATATTTTAACAAAATATATCGTATATATGTATATTATATATGTGTAAACAAAATATATCGTATTTTTATATTTATAAGCAAGCAGGATAATAAAGATATCAATATATTGTTTGCATCCATATATTTTACAATCTATTATAATATTTAAATCTATTGTAATTTTACAAATCATTAATAAGAGTAGATTTATGGACATTTGAATACTGAGTTCTTTAATGTGACACGATATGAAAAGATCGGAAGAGCACACGTCTGAA